CCCCCCCCCCCCCCCCCCGAAGCTGATAATGATAAATAGCTACCTTCCAGCCCTTTCTTCCCCAATTCTTCCTCCCTGGCTTCAAGGGCGCAGCCCTCTGAGCCCTGAGGCATGCACATCACCACTGAAGGAGTGGTGAACTTGGGGTGCTCCTCGGAAGGAGAAGCAAGGTATCGGCACTGCTGCGTTCCTCCGGGTGTGAAGAACTTTGCAGCCTGTACAGTCAAACTCGCACAGATCCCATTAAAGCACTAGCATCTTCAGTGTGTAGGACACCCAAGCAAAGGAGAATCAGCTGTCATTCGGAACAGCCCGCTCTGCGATTCCCGTGTTCTCGACAGCGGAAACCAAAAGAGACGTGAGATTGACAACAAGTTGCTGATATGCACACAATATGCACATGATTGCCCCAGCAATAAATCAGCGAGCTACGAAGCAACAAATCGCAATGCGTTGTGCTTCCTGCTATAAACCAGTATAACTAGCAAACAGTGGTGCGTTGCCATGTCGGAGATGCTCACCCCATAGTGCCCCAAGCCACAGCTTCTCCATGACTGCTGCATGACTTCCAAATCATGCTGCTCTTCGAGCATTCGTGATGCTGGCAGCCATCGTGCCGGAACGTGTGNNTCTCGGCACAGGCTCCAAATCACAGGAACAAGCACCTCCGAAAAGCAAGGGATTCCCTAAACGGCACGCCCAAAGACTTATGTCCCCAATCCCAAGCACCGAACCCTCCACCCAATGCCAGACCTCAAAACCCCAAATCCTAAACCCCATAAACCCTAAAATCCTCATACAAGCATAGGGTTTATCGCACATCAGTCCGCGAGAACACACATCACCTGAGTGTGGATGCTGCTTCACGCTGTCTTTAGTCTCCAAATCGCGCAAGCTCAATTTTCAGGATATGCCGCGGACGCTGGGGCTTCAAGTGCTTTGCATTGCGTTCTAAAGCACATTTTGGCACCGAATCCCCAAGTAGACGCTGCTTCTTCTCGTCGCATGAATCGATGCCCTGGGTATCGAAAAGCACTCGAAATCCACATTCCGAGTTTTGATGCTTTGGCGGCAACCGGGGTCCACGTATCGAGCCCTGATTTTTGTGACATTACAACCAGCCAATCCCAATGCAAACGATCGGTTCACAAACGCACGCACAAGACACTCATCAGCGGCATCACAGCACGTCCACAACAGCCATTCTCCATGCAGACGCTCGATTTCACAAGCATGCCAGCGAGACATAGATCAGTCACATCAGTGGCATCATAAAACACCAAAACCAGCCATTCTCCATCTAGACACTCGATTCCACAAGCACCCACTCGAGACGAACATCAGTAGCAGTACACCACATCCAACCCAGACATTCCAAATCCAGACGCTCGATTCCACACATGCCCACTCGAGACGCACATCTGTGGCATGACAGCACAGCAGAACTAGCCATTCCCCATCTAGACGCTCGATTCCACGTGCAACCATCGGATCGATCACAAATAGTAGTGATTGTTTGACAGCGGTTTCCCGAGTGTGGACACTCATCGATGCATATTTCAACCCAGCGATGTGAGATAAAGCGACCACTCGAAGAACCCTTGTCATCGTAGCACCCCACAGAATGCTTGTGGAACTTGTTTACAACTCTTATAGATTCAAAAGCAGTACCGTTGTAGAACCACAAAGTTCTCCACCCTGGTACGAGTAACCCGGGGAACCCTCCGCGCCTTCTCCGCTTTCTTCTCGTCATCGCAGCACTTTATCTGCACCCGCTGACCCCACCCGGCAGACCTCAAAAGAGTTTAGGGTTTAGGGCTCAAGGGCTTTAGGTTTTTCGGGTTCAAGGATTAAGGGGTCGTTCGGGTTAAAGTTAAAAGCTCTTTTGCAACTGGACGTGGTAACGGCGTCACAAGTCTCTTGAAGAGACGAGCTTCACAGCGGCTGCTTGGTTTGAGGGTCTAAGTTTGAATCCTTTCAAGAGGATTTGACACCAAATGCTTAGAAACCCTTAGTGGCACGTAACTCTAAACCCGAAGCCCTAAACCCCAAGCCTTACCTCCAAACCCCAACCCCCTTACCTTTACGGGCAGCTTGGAGATGCCTTGCTATCGTTAAGTCAACGTATGGTTTACAGCCGGGAAAGCAAGTAGTTCCTTTACAGTTTGGTTCAGAGTCTCTTCCTTGAAGTTTAGAGTTTTTGGGGTTTGGGGTTTGCAGGGACTTGGGGGTTCAATTAAGGGTTTAGCGACTTAGGGATTTCAGCCTAGAAGGTGTACGACCTCGAAAGCTGCGTTTCTGAGGAGGGCGCTGGTCCGTCCGCTTCACTGTCAACTTCTGGCCTCCCACTGAGCCGCAGCGGTTTTCAAAGGGTTTAGGATTCAGGGTATAGGAATTGTGGCTCCTTTTACGCCTGCATAGTTGGAAGCTGTCTGGCAGCAAGGAGGATTTAAGGCGTCGGATTCAAAGGGTTTCTCAAACACTTGACATTCCACACGCAACTCTACGATCAAGGGCTCGCTGTTTCTGCTAAAGGAACAAAGAAGACACTAAAACCGACATAACTACCACCATGGTTTCCCTATGATCCTGCTCAGATCCCTAGGCATTCAGAACACGGCACATGAGGGGGTGCAGTAACTCCTGTATGCTGCGGAGCGTTCAGTAACAGTAGTGGCCAAAGCAAAACGACCCCAAACTCATCAAGCCCTGGCCACGGCTTCGTGAGATGCGACCATCCATTCGACTGAGCGGCCATTAGCTGACCTTCCGACGATTCGTCCAATAGGAAGAACACCACCAACGGCACCAACACATGCCATACAGTCATACTGAGTTACTGCTTGACAAGCGGTTCCTTCGCAAGGAGTTCCAACAACAGGCACGGCCTTTGAGTTTGATCGGACGTACAACTAGCACCCCATGCTTCGAGACAACCGTTTGCCACCTTCCACGCTCACGCTGAAGGTGTCTGTCCACTCCGGTCGCTGAGGATTCCTCACGGAGCTGGCATTAGGGTTTAGGATTCGGGTTTAGGATTAAGGCTCGGGTTGGGTTCGGGCCAGGCTGTAGAGTCTGGAGACAAGATTTAGGCTTTAGGGCTTGGCGACTGGAGTTCGTGTTGAGGTCTGGGGTTTAGGATGTATCCGGTGCAGGGTTTATGGCTTAGGGGTATGCAGGGTTTCGGGTTCAGGGCTCCGCAGCCCGTACCTAGACCTAGACCGGATCAAGGCTGGTCCAGGGAGCCCAAACATATCCGAATTGACCGTCAGGGTCCTTGAAAGGGAGCCTTCAGCAATGCCAGGCTCGAAACAACCCCGACTGCACGCTAAAGCCAAAATTCGCAACGCGAGACAGGCGAGACGGCCAGCAAGCCATCCGCCCTGAAGACGGACCACTCTGAAGCTCTCTCCTTGGAGCGTCTTGACAGTGAAGATCTGCTCGGGGAAGCTCGACCTGCGCAATGCTCTGGGAGAGTTTAGGGTTTAAGGTTCTGTGCTTAAGGTTTGGGGTTTTTTGACGTTTCAGGCTTTAGGGGTATAAAGGTCCGGTAGATTTGGAAGGTGCCTCCTGGGCCTGCGTGGCTCATCTTCTGCAGGGCACGGCCCAAACGCAACACCCGATAGGAGGTTCAACAAAGGCATCTTGGAACCGAGAAAACGTGATTCTTTTGCCCGGAACAAAAACCTCCAGACTTTAGCACACAGCTTACATCGTGTCACGCTGCCTCCTTCGTGGCGGAAGAACTCTGTCCGACGGTGATCGTCTCGCACAGGAGAGCTGCATGCCTGTTGCTTTAAGGCTCTACTGCTTCTTGTTTCACAGTTTTGGGGCCAGTGGACTCGGACATTCGTATTGCAGAACCGCAGCTTTTTATCATGTCGCAAAGGGGTCGAAATCCGCCAGCCAGGTGGAAGCCTTGGCCTGCGGGACAGCAGGGTTCGCTGTGGGGCCTACGGGCCACGGACTTGGGAAATGCTCGGCCTTAGGCTCCAAAGAGAGCAGGTCAGGCAGGGCGGCGGACGCTGCAGGAGCTGCAGCGACGGCGGCTGTGCTGGCTGTGCTTCCGCTCGCATAGCCGCCTTGCATGCTTGAAGGCAGATCCGTTGTCTTCACCTGGGCCCGCTGCGCGTCGTCCTCTCCAAGGTCGCTGTACCAACGTCGCTCCTCGTACTTCCGCCGGCTGAAGCGCTCCACCTCCCGGTCCGACGCGCTCGGGCCCGGGGGGCGGAGCTCGCAGGGAAGCCGCGCCAGGAAGCGCCGGTTGGAGCGGCGGCCAGGTGCGCCACCTCTGCCTCGCTCCAGGCGTCCAGCGTGAGAACTTTCGCTCGGGTCAGATGCGCACCAAGCGCACGATGAATGCCGAAGCAGCGGTTGCACAGGAAGATGCCCAGTGTTACCGAAGCAAACCGGGTGTCCGTGTCACTGCAGTCGGCACATTGGCTGTTAGAGCCCTCTTGTCGTAAACGCTTCAACTCGCGTTGCAGATGCTCCTGCAGTTTGGCATCCTGCTTGTGCCCGGAAGCAACCATTGCAGTGCGACGGTGGCCTTGCTACTTCCTTGTGCCTTATGCACTTGTCTTCACATTGCCAGGCCACATGCTGGGAGCTTGTGTTGTTGTGCTTACAGCCAACTATCATGTGTGCCAAACGCCTGCCAAAAGCGGCAAGAAAGGACCATCGTGGCATTGCCTACTGTCGCAGATGGAAGCAGCCGCACCTGCCGAGGTGCTCGCCGATCTGAGCGGAGATGTCGTTCCCTCTAGCCTGACTGCCAAGCATAATGTGACATACTGCGCTTGGGAAGGGGCACTGACTAAAGACACGCAAAAAGCCGAAGCCTCTGCGAAGACGACGTCTTCGTAGTGCCGCGTGGCCTCTCATGCGAGATACCGACTCGTCTCGGCGTTGCCCGGCATTTCACGATCCCCACCACACCTTCACGAAGACACTGCTGTCATAGCCTGGCCATTCTGCAGTTTTTTGTCCGGTAAAGGGACGTTCGAAGTTTACATGAGGCGCAGGCCATCCGGAAAGAGGCCAATAACGGTCAGGTCGTTGTCGTGCAAATAGGTTTCTGCTTCCTGCCACTACAGCAATAGCTCCAAGAATCCCATGCTCAGCCGACGCTCCCCTGCAAGCGGCTAAGAGCCCCCGAGACGGATAACTACACTCCACTGCCTCCACAGACTTCAGCACATGGTCTCTCTCTAGATGTCGATTGACCCACTTGACGATCTGCTGCCACCTTAGCCGGCACAGTGCTCGAAGTGTGGAGTGCAAAGCGTACGTTGCGAGGCTGCCACCCGCGCCCGGCGCCGTCGTAGTCGAAGACCGCACCGTCAACAAATAGCTTCATGGTGGGATAGGAGTGGATCTCGTTCTCCTCACCCACGTCCCTCGGGAAGCAGACTGCATACTGAAGGAGGCTGACTTCAGTCTTCTTGGGGCAAGCATGGCTCTGTGCTATGAAACGTCTATCCTGGCTGAGTTGTGACGGCAAATATTGACTGGGGGTCAGACTCTCCATGTCAACGACACAGCGGTCAATGCGACTCGCAGTAGGCCCCACACGCATATCTGCTAGCGTCGATCTTTGCAAGCTTGACCGGCCTTCATTCATTCAGCGTGGGACTCCCAGAAAATCCTGCAACTGTAACACGGCAGTAACGCACACTGGGTGCTGCATCTACACCCACAGAATCTCGAAGAGCTGTCAGGCTCAAGCAACAGCCAAGCTCTTATGAGTATTCATGTGCACGATCCGGTTGTACCATCTTTTCCAATGTATTGTTACATAATGCCAGATATGACCATGCATTACCACGCACTGCTGCAAAGTGATATGCAGTAGTATGTAGCACTATACCAGTCCATTCCAGTCCTAGGCCGTAGTCTCAAATCGGTCGTATTCGGGGCCCTGGCGGGTCATGGATTTCCAGCTTCTGGGCAGCTAGATCCCAGGCGGGCATGACCTGCGTCCAGACACAGGTGAGACGAGGTTTTGCACAAAAGTTGTGAGGCAGAAGCTGTCCTTCCATCACTTCCGGCGACCCTTCGTCTATCCAGCTGGCCGACTCGCCATCGGGGCTACCGTCATCAGGACCGCCGTTTTTCCCTTTTGTTTTTTTGTTATGACCTTCTGTTGCTGTGATGAATGCTATTTTTGCGAGGACGACGACGACAACCACTACTACGACGGCCTGGAAATGTAAGGTCTCTCTAACCTAGAAAACCAGGGTCGCAGGGACGAACAGCAAGCCTGGGCACCTCATCCTCACCGCATGACTAGAATCATGGTAGCAAAACAATAGAAGAACGGCTATCCAAATTCCTCCATATCACAATGACAAGTCGAAACATCATCAACAACATCACCATCACTTGAGGCTGCTTCTTGCTGAGAGGCTCGGGATGGCCACCTGGCCTTTTGTGTCCATGCAGAGGTGTCATGCAAAAAAAGCCCTTCCGCTATCGGAAGGATAGGTCGTTTGCCTGGGACTTTGTGCCCATCTGTTTGCTCGCTTATCGGCTTGCAGGAATCATCATCTCCGCTCATTGTCTAGGATGTTAGCATTTGGGTGTTTAACGCCGATCTTGAGATTCAAAGCAGAGACCTGCAGCTGATAAACCCCAAACTGTACAGGAGCCCGCTTTCGGGCCCTTGCCGTCCTACATGGTACATGGCTACGCCTCCCAGCGTCGCCCTGGGGAAGTGTGACACGATCCTCTGCCAGGTATGTCTCCACAAGCAGATACTCCATCTCCTCAGCAAGTTGCCTCCGACCAAACTCCGAAACTTCGAATGCTGCATAGTGAGAGTCAAGGCCATCCAGGCATGTGTGCACTGAGCAAGGGCAAACTGGAGCGGGCACAAAGTAATTTGTGGAGAAAGGAAGGTACCGAGATCAGCGACCAAGCTAGTAGGAAGCATTCAGAAAGTTGTATCAACACGACGAATGTTTATCTTGGGCAGAACACCAAACAGCAAAACAACAACAGCAGAAGTACGCGCAGACATAATACGACCCTGGCAAATGTGAGAAGACCAAAAAATACATTCAATGCTACTCTGTCAACACCATGAATGTCGATATGTTCATTGCTTCGGTAGCGGCAGCTCGAAGATGTAACGGAACGCACGACTACACATTAGAGTGACTAGAGTTGCGAAGATCAATACTATCAAAAAACGACAGCAACCGGAACAGAAAGAAAAGCCCAGCAAGCAAATTTCAAGCGTTGATAGGAACACTCGCACGCACCAGTCCATGATCAGACTCGATAAGACTTTCGATCAAAGGTAGCAACTACGGGATACACTGAGATTATCCCGAAAACAACACACCAGATAAATACCAGACGTAGTAAACGACAACCAATACATACTTCAGAACACCAACCGTATGGAGATGAGGAGGGAGCACGTGGAGGAGGGGAAGGAGGAGGAGGAGGAGGAGGAGGACGATGACGACGGTGCAGGAGTAAGCAAATAAGACTGTCAACCATCGCCAAAGCTCTGACATTTCTACAAACAAGAGTTCAATGGCAAATGACAGAAGCAAAGATCATCTCCTAGACACTGACAGTCGCCAACGCCTATTCTGATGATTATGTGTCAAGCTGAAGAAGGAGCATTTCCCTGCGTTGCTGCACTCACTCCATCCAGGCGAGGCAGCCCACGCGCTGCACGCGCGTCCTGATTGGCCTCGACAGGAACTGCCGCGGGGGGGCCCGGGGTTGGCCCGGGGTTGGGTGTTCACAAGCTTTGATTAAGTTTAGTGACTCCGGGTGCCCGCTAGCCCCTGAACTTCAGTGTCTAGGAAGATGACGACTTTACGGCTCTAGCTCTAGCGCAGGCGTGCCTCCTGAGCAACATAGTCCACGAGAAAAGCGGCGCTTTCCGACAACACGACAAGGGTAACTCCGGCCTGAAGACGTTCTCGAAGCGCTTGGCGAGCTTCGCATCCTGTGGCACAACCTCGGGGCCCGAAGGCTCCGAAGGCGGCTCCGAAGGCGGCTCCGAAGGCTCCGGATGGTTCTCCTTCTCGGACGCCACCGCGGGCTTCGCGGCGCTCCCGGTGAAGCGCGAGAGCGCGGAGTTGGGGCGGCTCGGGGTCTTCGCCTTCGCCGAGGCTTTGCTGGAGTTCTGCAGCAGCCCAGAGGCGGACTTCGGCCGAGACCCCTTGGAAGATCGAGTGGAGGGTAGGGAAGGCACCTCCGACTCCGGGTAGGAGATAGCCGTGAGGGGCAGAGAGCCCAGATGAGACACCGAAGGGCTTTGGGGCACCGCCATCGCAGCCTTGGCTCTGAATAGACATGACTCGCCTTCACCACCTTATGCGGTTAAGGGCTACTATTAGAGGTTACATGGCGGGTTCGAACAAGTGCTACCTGGTGATTTTCGAATCAAGCGAGAACTGAAAAATCATACCACTGATGCACGACCGTGCTACCTCTACCACCGGGACCGATTCCAGCGTCTCCTTCTGCTGGGGCACAATGCCCAAAGGCACTTGCCTGGGACACAGAGGGAAGCATCTCGCTATGATCGGAGCCTCTTTAGCCTTCGTCTCGAATACTCTAGCTCTTATCCTCGGATCGGCTCAAAGGTTGTGCCTTGGGGCTTCTACTACCGTAGTCTTCGGTTTCAAGATGCCGTGAAACTCAAACCATAAGACCTGAAACTCTGAAACCCCGAACATCCGAAGCAACCAAACCCTAGAGCCCTGAAACACCCAAGCCGTAAAGCCTGAAGCCCAAAAGTTTCTAGGTCAAGGTCATGGACGATCTCTGGATCTGCGCCGTATCTATCACTGGCCGCTGCAACGGGGGCTTCCACAGCCGCTCATTCTCCTGACCCGCATCTACGGCTTCTTAGCCCCTAAGAGTTTAAAGCATGAGCACTGAAACTTATGCGCTTAGGGGCTTAATTAAGATGTTTACTGATTCGGGCTTCGATAAGCCATGTGTTTGCCCCCTTAGTGTTCAGGAGAATTTGAACTGGAGCTCAGACCGTCTCCAAGGTTCTAAAGAACTTGTTGCAGCATCTTGGATCCCGGGCGGGCGAAGTGCAAGTACTGAAAATCCCCCTAAACCCTGAACCCTCAGCCCTATACCCTGAACCCTCAACCCCAAAACCCTCAACCCTATACCCTAAACCATACTAGACCCTAAACCCTAAACCCTAAACCAAAACCAAGTCCCATGAAGCTCCTGGCGGTCGAAGTCCAGGTGGGAACGGCCTCGGGCTAGGTGCTTCTTTCGAAGGCCGTCGAGGGCCTTTGAAGATCGGGTCTGGGCGTTTAAGAATTAGGGGGCTTGGAGTTGAGGGTATAGGGTTTAGGGTTGGGGTTGGGGGTCTCGGGGTTTAAGGTTGTTTTTTGGGGTTTAAGGTTTAGGGTTTGGGCTCAGGGTTTTACAAGGGTTCTATGAGGGCTGCGGGGTGTTTAGGACCTGTAATTCTATGAGCTGGGCTTAGGGCTTGGGACTCTCGGCTCGGCGCTTAAGGGCTTTGGGTGTACGGCGAATAGGCTTTATGGCTTAGGGCCCGGACTCTGTGTTCGCTGGGCCGTCCGCAAGGATTCCAGGGATCGCACAACCTCGATGCATGTGGGCAAGACTAGCGTTCCTACTCTCATGACATGACTTTTGGCCGTGTTATTGTGTTGCTTGCACCATTTTCTGCCATTGACTCTAGTAGCAGGGACCTTAAGAAGTGACCCTCGGCAAGGCAGATCTCTGAAGGGGGGTTCCCAAAAAACATGGGTCCCTTGTTGGGGGGATCCTCCTTAACAAAGAGATCCTACTTCTGCGTACTTACGTCTTGGAGTACCCTAAACCCTGAACCCTAAACCTCAACTTCAGAAGCTCCGACATCCCCTCGTTTAGCCAAGCCGCCGAAGCGAACTCCCGTCGCTGCGCTGCGTCCGACGCGTGCGCGTAGCGCTGAACTCTCGGCTGCTTTCCGGCCTCAGGTTCCGCAACCGCCGGGTCTGGGCCTTGAGGTTATTTGGGTTTAAGGGTTTAGGGTTTAGGGTTTAGGGGTGTGAGAGCGGTAATGATGGAGGGAGTGCTTACTGGGCCTTCTTTGTTCTGAACCCTAAAGCCCGAAGCCGACAACCTTCTAGATCCCTGCAAACCCTACAAAGCCCCATAGCGTCCTCTAAAGTCCTACAAACCTCTAGGAATAATGCCCAGAGCGGCATTCAACCCGCAAATGCCCCAAACACCTCAAAATCCCCAGAGCTCCAGATACAACCTCTTTGAACCATCGTATGAGCTTCGAGAAGCAACCCTAAACCCCTAAACCCTAAACCCTAAGCTTTAAACTCCTAAACACTTAACCCCTGAACCCCGAAACCCAGAACCCCTAAACCCCTGAACCCTAAACCCTAAAATGTAAACTCCTGAACACCAAACCCCTGAATCCCGAAACCCCAAACCCCTAAACCCCTGAACCCTAAACTCTAAACCCCTAAACACGAACTCCTGAACCCCGAAACCCAGAACCCCTAAACACCAAACCCCTGACACTGAACCCCGAAACCCTGAACCCCTAAACCCCTGAACCCTAAACCCCTGAAGACTAAAGCCTGAAATCTAAACCCCTAAACACCAAACCCCTGAACCCCGAAACCCTGAACCCCTAAACCTCTGAACCCTAAACCCTAAACTCCAAACCCCTAAACACAAAACCCCTGAACCTCTAAGCACTAAACCCCTGAACCCCCAACCCAGAACCCCTAAACCCTAAACTCTGAACCCCTAAACACCAAACCCTGAACCCCGAAACCCAGAACCCCCAACCCAGAACCACTAAACACCAAAGCCCTGAACCCTGAACACTAAACCCTTGAACCCCCAACCCGATAACCACGAAGCACTACCCCTGAAACCACTAGATCCCCTAAAAAGGCCTAAACGACTGGCCTTGAAGATGGCAGAGCACTTCCGGGCCAGGACGGTTGCATCCTCCAGGGCTGGCGCCGGGACTCCGAAGTGCTTCCTTCACAGCTCTTTAGAGGGTTTGGGGTATAGGGTTTAGGGTTTGGGGTTTGGCGTTTGGGATTTAGGGTTTAGGGTTTGGGGTTTAGGGTGTAGTTTAGGAACCCTAAACCCTAAACCCTAGACAGTTTAGGAACTCCTCAACTCCTAAACCCTCTCACAGGTGACTGAGTCCGCGTGAGAGAGGGCTTAGGAGTGTAGGGATTAGGATTGTTCTACCAGGGTTTAGTGTTTATGGGCTTTGGGGTTCTACAAGAGATCTAATTATAAGGGCTCTGTAAGGATGTGAAAGGTTGTGAACAACATCGTTAAGCGTTTTTGTTTGGGGGGTGTAGGGTCAGGGAATTAGTGGTTCGGGTTGGAGGGGCAAGTGGGATCCGGCTTAGGGGCCCAACTTCAGATGGAATCGTGTGAAAACATCAAAAAGCGGTTCCAGAACATCCCAGCTTCTGGTAGCTGGTGGTTGGATCCAGCCTGTCAGGGACACCAGCGTGGCTGTGCACACAAGAAAGGGCCTGGGAAGAAGGCTACTACTGCTTGCTACTACACTAAAGCTTTGGCTTTGAAGTTCCAGCATAAGATGTCTGCGGTTCATTGACGGATGGTCAAAACCAATCACAACATCAAACGATCAGGAGCATAGTGACGGCACGCAACAACAGTCGCAACAAGAACACTAACAACCCTAACGAGCATACGACGAACAAGAAGACAATGCAGAAATCCTAAATTCCCTCTAAACCCCAGAACCCTAAAACCCAAGCCGAAAGACCTTAACCCCAAAACCTTTGAACCCTAAACCCAGCCCAGGCACCGCCAGTTCTCCTGGTCCAAGCTGTTTTTCACCCCAGATCCCGAATAGAAGTCTGGACGGCGCTTCAAGGGTCGGTTCGCCGCAATCCCGCGCTTGTGCTGGCGAAAGGCCGCCTGGTTCGTGGTGCCCGGGAAACCTCGGCTTAGAGCTGCTGTTTTCGGGTTTTGTATCCGGTTTATAAACGGCCCTTCGAGGTTTCTATTGGGGTCTTATCAGGTTCTGTAAAAAATTTTAAGGTTCTGTAAAGAATTGAAGCGGGCGTTGTAGAGTATGTGGGTATGGGTTTACGGAGTGCTCAACAGGCTTTATGAAGGGTTTGGGCTTGAAGCCTTTGGAAGGGCAAGTTCACCCTAAACCCTGAACCCTAAACCCTCAGCCCTGAACCCAAAGCCCCGAACCCGGGCCCTAACACACGAAGCTACAGCCGAGCCGCTGCAGACCGAGGAGGAAAGGTCCGTCTCCTGGGCTCTTGAAATCTTCAAGTTCTGAGAGGGTTGATATCGCTTTTACGCGAGTTTTACAAGAATAGAATTTTACGGCCTTTAGGATAGTCTGCTAGCTTTTGAGATTATTCAAACCCACAGCAGAACCTATTCAACACTTATCAAACTCCAACAAAACCACAAAAAAAGAATTGTAAATATCAAACTACTAAAACAAAAACCCACACACACACACACAAACACTTGCAAAAATTCGGACGAACCCCAGACTTTAAACCCCCTAAAGTGTAAAACCCGAGACAAGTCTCCGAAAGCGAAGGGGTCGCCGAGCTGGATTTCCGGGAGCCGATGGACGTGGACTCAGAGCTGCGTCCCTCGAGCCACTCCTTGTGCTCTTCTCAACAGGGTTTAGGGTTTAGGATTTAAGTTTAGATTAGGGTTTAGAGTTTAGGGTTCAGGGTTTAGGGCTCTCTTGACGAGCTCTCTGGCATTGAGGTTTGGAGCTTCCTAGGTCTTTCGGCTTGGATTTTCAGGTTCTGGGGCTTAGGGGTTTAGGTGCTTTTTGAACGCGTCTTTCATGGTTTAGGTTTAGGCTTGAGGGCTCAGGGTCCAGAAAGGCAAGGGCTCTGTAGCAGCTCTACAAGGCTTTCGCGTATGTTTGGCAGGGCTTGATCGGGGTTCTGCAGCGCTCTTGTTTGACGGCCGTTGCTAAGGCTTTGAGGTTCTGAGAAGATCGGAGATGTTAGAGTTTGAGGTCGGTCAACGGCCTGAATAAGGCTGTTGAGGCGTTTCGTGCTTTTTGGTTGAAGAGGGCGCCGGGCCTTCCACCGGTCTTTGGGCGGTTCGCTTTCGGGAGTTTGGAGGTTCTGGGCTCTTGGGCTGCCTTGAAGAAGTTAAGGGTGTAGGGTTAAGGGTTTTAGGGTGTAGGAGGGTTTAGGGTCTAGGAGGGTTTCGGGCTAGGAGGGTCTAGGGATCGGGTTTAGGAGGGTTTAGGGATTCGGGGTTCAAGGATTTGGGCTTCTTAGCTTTTGAGGATTCGGGGTTGAAGCCTTGGGCTCGAGAATCTTCTCAGTTTCGGGCACCCCTACCAGTGAATCCTGCACCGACCTCTAAACCCCCTAAACCCTAAAAATCCTAAAACCCTAAAAGCCCTAAACCCTGAATGCCTAAAACCCTAGAAACCCTAAAAACCTTAAACCCTGACCCTAAAGCCGCTGCAAATCAGGGCAGTGCTGTTGGATTGTAACCTGGGCACG